AAAATCGTTCAAATTTACGGTTGAAGGTTTGATTCACTATTATTTTTATTTTTCATACGTATACACGTAAATTCGACATATCTATGTATATTCAGTAATATTCATTTGTCGTTCACGATGAATATTGTTGAATATACGTGGATATTTCGTATTTACATGCATACCATTGAATTTCTAAGTTATTACTTGATGCGTGCGGATATAAAAAATGAAAAAAATGATTTTTCCCCCTAGAATTAATCGGTATTTTGTTTGATCTTTTTCATTGGTCGGTGTTATTTTTCAGGTCACAAGAATGTCGTTGATGAGCTCATTAAGAATGGTGCTAATCTCAATAATAAAGACATTCATGGGCGGACACCATTGGAGGAATCTATTTACGAAGGTAAAACTGGATATATATCAGATGTTCCGTAACAAATTGATTTGAACTTTTTCATTGATCGATATTATTTTTCAGAACATGATGATATCGCTGAAGAGCTCATCAATAGAGGTTCCGATCTTACTTCTAAAGATCAATATGGAGACACACCTCTTCATTTAGCTGCTATGTATGGTAATTTTGAATATTTTCACTAAATAAGAAATTGATTTTTCACATTGGTCGATATTATCCTTCAGGCAACTTAAAGATCGTTCAACTTCTTGTCGAGAAGGGCGCCAGTCTTACTGCTAGAGACAATCGTCCAAATAGACGTACACCTTATGAGTCAGCTTGTGCCTTTGGCGGTGAAGGTAATGTTGAAAATTTTTGTTTAGAAATAATGTGATTCAAACTCTATCACTGATCGATATTATTTTCCAGATCACAAGAAGGTTGCTGCCTATCTAGAAACCAAACTTTAACCATTGCTGTTTTGTCGGACTATCGATTTTAACATTGTGTCAAAAAAAGCACCTCAACTTATTTCTCTTTTAAATTCCACACGGTATAGATGTTGAGTAGAATATTTTTTTAATAAAGTTTGTTCAACGTACTATGTCAGTATTAAATAAATAATAAAAAAACGCACGCAACTCCTTATTCTGACATAAAATGCAAAAATTAATTTGCGAACGTTTTCGTGAATGTTCTTCACATCTTCAGACTAAAGGTGCTATTTCTTAGGCGGCCGATTTGGTCGCCGATTCAAGAGGACCATTCGGAATTTTGGCTATACCTTTTGAACCACTGAACGAATGCATAATTGAATGAAAAGCATTTAATACAACAAAATTGTGTCAAAAAAGGCAACTTGATATGATTTGAAAGGTTTAGAAAAACTCCAAATGAATAAGAAAAAGATAGCAATTTTTTAAAAATGTCCACTGTGATGAAAATATGCATTTTTATTCAAACTCTGAATTAAATATCTCGTCAGTTGTCGTAAATGATAAAAACGACTCGATGTTAATGTTGCAAGGTGTATTTGTCCGTTCATTGAGATATTTTTCTTTCGATGTATTGTTGATTTTCTCATACGCAGAAATTAAGAACATGAAAGTACAGATAAACCTTAGCACTAGCAATCTGTGCCATTTTTCATAAGGCGTCTCCACTCGCATTGAGTTTGTATTGTGAATGTTAAGGTGCGTGC